CACATCACTCTCGTTTGAACGGCCGTCCTGTTATTCCAGTGACTCCACACCAAGGGGAGGCACTGGACTCGAGTTTCGCTCTTATTAGAGCTCATCAGCAGTGCATATCCAATGGCCGTGCCGGGATTTGAACCCCGGACATCTGACATGCGAGGCGAGCGTGTAAGCACTACCCTACCAACGCACGTTGGTAGGAACGGGCAAATGTGTTCACACTTGAGCGATGTGATTGGTGTGCCCGACCCAACCCCAAAGTTACAATAAAATTCATCTCATTTGTACCTACTCACGGAAGGAAAAAGTAGCTCAGAATTGTGATGTAAATAAATCAACTCACCTCGGACTTTGTGCACATTTGTCTCACTGCATCGGTGGTTGAGGCGAAATTGAAGGACTTCAACATGCCCTGGATCGTGCAAACAAAATGAAGGGAGAGCGTTATGTTTCAGATTCTCCTTAAGCTTTTCACTTAAAACAGTGGCTCTCCTTAGCCAGTTTGAACAGAGAGAGCAACGTGGATGACAGTTTTTCACAAACGTGCAAAACAGAGCTTCACCACAAAATAGCAGGTATTCCGCTGCTTGAGCAGTACTCCACTTATTGCAAGCGGAATGGAAAAGGTGGTTAAATGAAGTGCAACGTGGACTTACGACATAGTATTCCGGAGCACTTTGTAGTCCACTGTTGAGGGCGAAAAACGTCGCACCATCACGGAATAATCGCGTTCCCAGTATGCCGGTGGTGGGCACGGTATGATAGGGTACAGTTTCAGTATCCGAACACGATGTGTAGAACTTGGTCTGATAAAAAAGTTTTACGGACAGGGTGTGAGCAACATTTAGATGATCTTAGAAGAAAACTTATAGAAATGAGTGAGAACAGATTTAGGGTTACTCATGCTTTGGTGAAAAACTTTGAATCATTCACACACTCATCACTGACTTACAACGTTCAGGTTCAAATGTGATCACGAACCGATACGATCTAACGGACTCCTGGTTACTACACAGCAATCATACATTTGAATAGAAACGGAAAAATATGCAGTGTACGGCTCCAACTATCTGAGTCCGCCTTGCAGATTCAAGGATTGGCCACCAAAGTGGTAATCCTACTGAGATTTGTAAAAAAAGCGACAGTAACCTTGGCAGTGTTGTGGAATATAGGTAGCTAGGGTGCGCTGATTGTTTGGTTGTCTGTTCGCCGAGCTTGGCAGTTGGATTGCAAACGTTTCGTCACTATTTGAGGTGACATCGTCAGTGTGGGGTTGAATGGGATCCATAGTATCTGTACAAACCCAAAGGAAACAAAATTATACTCATTTACATATCAATTTGGCCTTGATTGGGGACTCACCTGGAACCCAACTGAATTTCTCGTTTGTGATATTCTTAAGCAACTGCATGCGCTGCACCAGGTTGCCTCATGTTTTTGTTGGTACGATACTCGAGAACACCATAAATGAGGGATTCTGCGCGGTTCCGGGTGAGTCTTCCGTCAAAAAAGCGTTCAGTTGCAGTACCCTTCCGGTGTCTAGCTGCCCTGCTACCCTAAGGAAGCACGAGGGCTGGGATACTGCCAGGTTGCCCAAGCCTAGACAGGGGAAGTCGAGAGGCGGAGGTCGAATTCGAACCACG